TCCCCAGTCAAGCATTCCCACGGCCCCCCAACACACATCACCCACCATCTATGACCCCCTACAAAGAGCCCCCAAACCACACCCCATCTGGTACCCCATACCACCGCCGCCTGCCCCTCCAACCCCATGACCCCCAGACCCAATCACCCCACAACCCTAGTGTTTCCCCCCATGCGGGGGGCTGGTCACTGGGGATCTGCCTGGCCTGCCTAGGGGCAACTCCAAGCCTCACCCAAGGGGTAAATACAAGCGTCCCAACACTTGGCAAGAGCTGCCCCGCATAACACCCCCACACACATCTTCACCCCTCAGCCAAGACCCTTGAAGGACTTGAAGGGGGAGCCGATCAGAAGCTCACAACCAGAACCAGTCTTTGAGGGTGGTCTAGGAACAGGACACCCAAGAAAAGTGTGGGGGGGGGCAGATGAGGGGGTGTCCAGCACTGGCCCTGCTTCCTGCACTACAGAGACTCCCCAAAATGTCAGGGGAGCTGGGCTTACCTGGCCTGAACACCCCAAGGCCCATCTGGTCTAGTCAGGCTTCAAAACTCCCAGGGAGGCTAGGCCTCAGCCTGATGTTGGGGTGGGGGGCAAAGGGCTTGGAGGTAGCACAGACCCTCCCCTTTCCCTTCTCTGATCCTGCTGGGCAGAAGACTGGAAAAAGAGAGTGGGAAAGGACTTGGAGGGAGGAAAGCAGCATCAAGAGAGTGGGAAGGAGGGGGGAGCTCTGCCCCCCCTCCCCCACACTGGCTGTGGGGGGGTTGCTGGGAAAGTGGGATTAGAAGAGAGAGAAGGGGAGGTGGACTGGAGAGAGGGAAGGGAGAGAAACAGGGAGAGGGGAGGAGGGCAGGGGGCGAGGAAGATAACCCCAATAGGAGGCACCTAGGGGGTGATGCCCCCCCCATCCCTCTACCTGTCCCCCCCTGCCCCCCGGCCCAGTGGGCACTAATCCCCACCCCCACCTGCCATCCGCCCCCACCAAATTGCCCCAACCCTGATCAGCTGCCTGCCCTGAGAGGGAGTCACAATCCTCAAGCTCCAGCCACTAGGGGGAACCTGGACCCCCTCACCCTGCCCTGCGGTGGAGGCAGGCCCCACACCCCATGATGCCATCACCCCACGATGGGGCGTATCCCACGCTTTGCCCCAGGCGTCCTGGCAGCACCCAGCAGGGCCCCGCCACCTGTGCACCGGATCAGACATGCATCCCGGACGCAGCTCCCAGCCGTGGCCCCCCAGCACCGAGCCCTGCCACAGTGCCCCCCAGCCCATGCCCCCCTGGGCCGGGCCCACGCGCTGGGGAATCTGCTCAGCTGGCAAGATCAGCCACGACTTTATCATTGCTCTGAAGACCCTCTCTGCCCAGGAGCACACGGTGGGACCCAGGTGGGGGGGAGGGGATGCCTGGGTTCTCCCCAGCTCTGGGAGGAGAGTAGGGTTGGGAGGGATGCGGGGTTGGGAGGGATGCGGGGTGGGGAGCTAGAAGCCAGGACTCCTGGGTCCTTTCCTGGCTCTGGGAGAGGAGTGGGGTCTGCAGGGGGTGTGGGGATAGAAGTGGGGAGGGGCACAGATCCTGGCTTGCATCCCCAGCTCTGGGAGGGGAGTCAGGCTTCAGGGTGTGGGATTCAGGATGCCTGGGTCCTCTGCCTTTGAAGCAGGGGGATTTTTCTCTCTGCACTGGGGTCCATCTCACGCCCACCCCCACCTCAGGTGGTGGCCATCGCCTCCCGTGAACTCGCCCACGCCCAGGAATATGCCCGGAAAAATGGGATCCCCCGTGCCTATGGCAGCTACAAGGAGCTGGCCAGGGATCCTGATATAGGCAAGTAGGGGTGGAAAGATGGGGGAGGTGGCACAGCCAGTGCTGGGTCAGGCTGGATGTGGGGAGGGGTGGGGGCCAATGGGGCCCCTAGCACGTAGAAGTAAAGCAATACCCGGATGCCCAGGTTCTCCCCCAGCTCGGGGAGTGGAAGCTGGTGGGTCACAGCGGGTGGGGGTGGAGAGGACTCCTGGGTTCTTTGCCTACTATGGGAGGGGGCAGGGTCTGATGGGGTGCAGCAGGGGGTACAGCCTGGACTCCTGGGTTCCCATCCTAGGTCTGATTGCGGGGTGGGGGGGAGAGGTTAAGGCAGGTTGGGGGAGCCCAGATGCCTGGGTTCTCTCCCAGCAGCAGGGCAGGGGGGTGAGCAGGGTCAGGAGCCCAGACACCTGGGTCCCAGCGCGGCACTATTGCAGACGTGGTGTACGTGGGGGTGATCAACCCGCAGCACCTGCCTGTGGGGCGGCTGTTCCTGAGGGCCGGCAAGCCCGTGCTGCTGGAGAAGCCCCTGGGTATGAATGCAGCAGAGGTGCGGGAGCTGGTGCAGGAGGCACGGGCCAGCAATGTCTTCCTCATGGAGGTGAGACCCACCCCATGGCTCCACCCTCCCTCCTGTCCCCCCCTGGACCTGCCTGCCCCAGCCACGCTACCACTGGGGGGCCCAAGAGCCCCCATCCTGGTGCCCCCCCACTACCCCAAACCCTACAGCACAGTGCCCCCAGGGTCTCCCATGACCCCAGCACAGCAGACCCACCCCATAATGTGACACCTACTAGTGCCCTCCCAAAGGCATGGTGCCCCCCTAGTGTCCCCCCAGCACAGCACCACCCAGAGCTGCCACCAGCCCCACAACACAGTACCCCCAGGGTCCCCCACTACCCATAGCACAGTGCACCCACCCCATAACACACTTTCTAGTGCCCCCCCACCATATGGTGTTCCCTTAGCACCCCCCACAGCACAGTATCCCCCAGAGCCACCCCCCCCCACTGCCCCCCAGCCCTTCAGCAGTTCCCACATGGACCCCCATTCTCCACAACACACCCACCCCATAACATGGCACCTTCTAGTGCCCCCCCAGCATCACAGTGCCCCTGGTGCTCCCCTAGCACAGCAACCTCAGCTGCACCCCACAGGACAGTGCCCCCAAGGTCCCCCACTTCCCCCAGCACAGCACAGCCACTCCATAACATGGCACTTTCTAGTGTTCCCCCCCTCCCGCGAACAGTGCCCCTTAGTGCTGCCCCACCCACCCCAAACATGTCCCAGAGCCACACCCCACAGCACAGCACCCCTCTTCTGCTCCCAATGTCCGCAGGCTTTCTGGACACGGTTCTTCCCAGTGTCGGGGCGGATCCGGACACTGCTGGCCCAGGGGGCGCTGGGGCAGGTGAAGATGGTACGGGCAGCAGTGGCCATCCACATGAGCAATGTGCCACGGCTGGTAGAGAAGGACCTGGGTGGTGGTGCCCTGCTTGACCTGGGCTGCTACTGTGTCCAGTTTGCCTGCATGGTCTTTGGTGGGGAGAAGCCCCAGAGCATTCTGGCCTCAGGCTTCCTACATGAGACAGGTAAATGGCCAGGGGTGGGGGGGTGTGGAGAAGTGGAAGGGCTGGGGACTGTAGGTCAGGAGTGAGGGGCACTGGCAGGGCCCCTCCGCTGTCCCCCATCACAGCTGCCCCCTCCCCTTTCCAGGCGTGGATGAAACCACCTCCATCATCCTGAACTACTCCGGGAAGCGCCAGGCCGTGCTCACATGCTCCTTCATGGTGAATCTTCCCAACCAAGCTGCCATAGCAGGCACCCAGGGCATTATTGAGGTATGTCCCCCCCACCCCTCCCCCCAGGGGCAGGGGCTGTAGTGGGAAGCCAGGGATGACTGGGTTCTCGCTGGGGTGCAGCTGCATCACCCAGGGGGAAGCCTCCCTTTAACTCCTTCCTCCCTCCACCTTGCATCCTGCTCAGATCCCTGACTACATGTCGAAGCCCACAGACATGCTGTTCAATGGGGAGCGCTGGGAGTGCCCCCTGCCACCCCCCTCCCAGCCCCTCAACTTCGAGAGGGACACAGGGCTGCGCTATGAGGCCCAACATGTACGGGAGTGCCTACTGCAAGGTGAGGGGCCATGGACACCTGGGTTCTGTCCCAGCTGGGATAGGGGAAGAAGAGATGGAGAACACCTGGGTTCTGCCCCAGGTCTGCCAGACAAGGGGGGGGGGGGGTCTAATTAGTGGGTTAGAGTAGGGAGCAAGGACAGCTAGGGTTCTCCCCGCTGCTGTTGGAGCACAGCTTGTTCTCACAGCAACTCCCAGCACAGCTCTTCCCTCTCCTCCCCCAGGCCTGAAGGAGAGCCCCATCATGTCCCTGGCCGACAGTGAGCTGGTGGCCTCCATCCTGGATGAGGTGCGGAAGCAGCTAGGGGTGAAATACACCCAGGATCAGAGCAGCTAGGATCACCCCAGGCTGGTGAGGAAGAGGGGCAGGGACCTTTGGAATGTGATGGGGAGACTCCCCAACCCATAAAATAAACCTAGCAAAGCCAAGCTGTCTGTCCCCGTGACTCCCTGTGAGGGGAGGGAGGGCCAGGATACCTGGGTTCCTCCATGGAGCGCGCACACAAAAACAGCTCAGCAACAGGGCAGGACTCCTGGGTTCTACCAGGAAATGCACTGCCTCCCCCTCCCAATCAATGTTCAGCAGTGCCCTCCCCACCCCCCATCTAAGCAAGGGGTGTACACCAGCTTGCCCCCTCTCCCCATAACCCTATCTCCAGCTCCTGGGTTTGCTCACTACTAGGGGTGGGGCAAGTTGGCCCTGTGTTTCTTCAGACCATCTCCCCCGACCCCACAAAGTGCTGCAGACTCCCAAGATCATGAGACCAGCTCTATATTAGAGCCCCTTGTTACAGCTATTGACCACCTTGCCTCTCCACCCATCTCTACAGGGCCACTTAGCTGCAGGCAACAGCCAGCCCCTCCCCAGAGATGGGGGCTTCCTGACCGATTCTAAAGAAGCATCTAACCTAGCAGTGACTGTTTTTAGCAGGCAGGACAAGAAATAAAGCCCCCCACCCCATACTATTCTGATCCCCACCCTGCAGAGACTTAGCAGCCTGTGCCCACAGGTGCTGGGATGGAGATGGAGGGTGGGAGCTTGAGCCTCTGGCTGCAGAGAGCAGACCACTTCCCAGCCAAGCGAAGCCACAGCTTTGAATCTGGCCGGGAGCAAGAAAAGGTTAACCCGCCTCTTAGCAGTGCTGCCTGACACCAGCTCTCAGTCCTGCCCACCCAGGGCTCAGGTCATACAGCCACTACCAACACCACTTAGGGTACACAAGCACCACAGGTTGGCCACTCCCAGTCTAAGCCAGTGGTACTTAACTTATGGCCTGTGGGCTAAATCCAGCCAGTGGTACACCAGGTTGCACCCCCAGGTCATCCCCATCCTGGATCAAGCCTAAAGACTGACCTGACACATGGGATCCAGCCCACAGACTTGCCCCATGCCACTGTCCTGGGGGAAGAGGGCACAAGTATGCTGCCATCGAAGTAGTTTGGACTACATGACTTACAGAGGTCCTTTCCAGTCCAACTTCTCTATTATTTCCATCCTTGGAAAAGACACTCAAAGAGATACAAGGAAGACGACCAAGTTCCCCTGCTACAGGAAGAAAGCAAGATTTCCCTACAATCCATACAGATCTGACCAGGAGGACAAAAACTCCTTCCAGATGCAAGATGTGATCAGACTAACCCTGAGCAGATGATACCCACCCTCTTTGCAGACAGCACTGACCTAAGACCAATGCTGGCTGGGAGCTGTAATCAGTTAGGGCTGTCTAACTTAAAAGTGGCCACAGGCAGCAGGCCATGTGCCCCCTTGCCATACAGTGTGGGCCACATGCTGTACCCCTCACCATCACTGCTTGCTAGGGGGTGGGCGGACAGGGATGGACACCACCCAGACCCAGAACTCTTGGGTTCTGCCAACACTCTGGGGGCTGCCAGCTGGATGGCCTGATGTGACCCAACCTTGGTTTTCAAAAGAAGCCAGTGATGGCCCCCACCCCTCAGTTAGCTATGCTGCTGGGTAAGATATCCACACCATGGAAGAGCCCAGAGACCCTGCCACTAATCCAGAATCTTGCCCCAGCTTTTAGCTTCTGGAGTTCAACCTCTGTGCAGGGGTGTCCAATACCCAGCCTGCTCAACGGAAAGGCAGAAGAGGAACCAAGATGGTTTGGAGGGTGGTTTGTTTTATTGATCAGGGTTTAGATCAAGATACCGTACTGTTTCAGCACATCTGTGTACTTAGCAATCTTGCCTTCAACGTTCTTCTCTGCCTGCTTCCTGAGTTTCTACATGGAGGGAAAATGGGAAAAAGACATGTTAGTTGTGTTTTTCAGGCATAGCTTTTTGCTTCCTGCCTATGTTTTGCCATGTTTATTTCCTGTGTTTCTGGACTTTGCTGGATCCTGCACAGGGCTGGGAGGGAATTTAATTTCCCCACACTTTCTGCTATCTGACAGGGGGGTTTTGTTAAGCCTCCTTCAGGGGCACTGGCTTTTGGGTGCAGCCAAGGCTAGGGATTAGGACTGTGCTATGTCAATGCTTCTGCTGGGACTGCAAGCTGGGAGGTTTCTGGATAGAGGGTTGCCCCCCTCCTCCCATCCCCCTGTTCAGGGTCAAACCAATTGCCAGACCTGGGGTCAGAAAGAAGTTTTACCTTAGATGGGTACAGATTGTGGGGGTTAGCCCTTCTCTATAGTAGGAAGCATGGCCTTCACCTGGGATCTCTTGAGCATTAACAAACTTTTTACAGCACCAGGACCTTGGCTGCCATGGCCCCCCTGCTTTACCTGCGGCAGGTTTGGGTATAATGTCTTGTGTTGTGTCAGGGGTGATGATAGCTTTGCTAGCAGGTTATAAATGTTTATGGAATAGTTTAATCTGAAGAGAGATGATTCTCAGGCAGGGGGTTGGACTAGACATCTGGAGGTCCCTTCCAGCCTCACTTCTCAATGAGTCTATGATCTCATGCTGGGCTCTGTACATTATCCAGGCCTCCTCATCAGAAGGAAAAACAGCCTCAAACTGCAGCAGGGGGAACTGAGGTTGAAGATTTGGAGGATTTCTGACTTTTAAGGGTGGTCAAGCATTGGGACAGCCTGCCTAGACAAACAGTGGCATCTCTACTCTTGGAAGTCTTCAAAAGCAGATGGGACAGACACGTGGCTGGGATGGCTTAGTCAGAGAGGATGCGATTTCATGAGGTTCCTTTCAGCCCGATTTTCTTATGTGTGGGGTTCTGATCACAATTTGTTACATGAAGGGTGTGTAAGATCACCAATTTAGTGATCAGAAGGACAGGGAGGGATCTTTGGATAGAGCATGCCTGACCTCACTGCTACTACAAAGTTTGCATACCCTAAGCTTCAGCTCTGGTGTTAGGAGCAGACCCACAGTCCTGTCTCAAGATGGCTGCCTGCAGTGGGTGGTATTGCAGGGTTGGCCACTAGAGGTGCAGAGGGAAGCTGGTTTACAGAGCAAACTATCACTTGTGCCCCAGGTGGAGAAGGCTGCAGACAGCTGCCCCATGTAAACAGGTGCTAGGAACCTCCCTGCCTCAAGCTTTTCTCCTCACAACCAGAGGCCCCCACCCCACCCGTCCCAAAGCCCCATGTTTGCAGGCCCAGAGCCAACAAAGCTCTCCAAGCCAGATCCAGCCTGGTCTACGGCAGTGGTTAGTGACCTTTTCAGGCCATGGGCTGGGAGACCCAGCTTGGGTTGGCAGCTGCTGCTTTCCCACCTCCACTAGCACCAGCTTTCAGAGTCAAGGCAACCTCCTGGCCAAAACCCCCTGCCAGATTTCTGACCCCACACGCCAGCCCCATGTTCCATATCCAGCCCACAGGGCGAGAAGTTTGGTGGTACAGCGAACAGAAGTGGTATTAGTTACCACAACAGCAGTTAATACCACTGCTCAATCCACCAGCAAATTTCTGGCCCTGTGGAGAGCCCCATAAACCAGTGGTTCCCAATCTGTAGTACACATACCACCAGTGGTACACATTAACAGATTTATTATAATTATTTTATATGACAAAAGTTTGCTGGTGTTAGTTAAGGTTATACAGCTTTAAATTGCTGGTGAACAATCTGTCAGATTTTGGGAACCGCTGGGTATAGGCTATAAGTCAGGTATATTAAAGACATAAGAAGGGACTAGATGGCCGTATATATCCTGATTTAAGGGACCAGACACACAGCCAGTACCTGGTATAACATGCACACTGGCACATAGCAACCTCCCCTCTCTCATGGGCCAAACTCCAGAGCAGAGCAACTTCAGGGTGATCCTGCCTCAGGCAGGGGGTTGGAATAGAGGACCTTTGGAGGTCCCTTCCAGCCTGACTTCTCTATGATTTTTATGAGTCACAGCTTTAAAGCCAGGTCTACTCTACTTTTGCTACAGAAGTCAAATTACTCTGTGGTTGAGCATCACATGTCTGTTCCCTTAGACAAGCCAGCAAGTAAGACATCCTATTCCTTGAGGCTTACAACAAGGATGTTACACATACAGCCTAGAGTCTCTTTATCCAGCCAGCTGGGCTACCAGGAGTTGGGGAGTGTGGCCTGTCACAGAACCCAACAGCTCTGCTTGCCTTAATACCACTGATCCCACCATCCCCACACCACTTTGGAGACCTGGGGGTCTACACCAGGCCTAGGGAAGAGTTTGACATCCCTAGCTTAGAGGAAAGGTCTGTGTACCCCCATCTTCCCTCCAGCTTGCTTCCCTGAGGGGCTGACTATTTCTTTGGGGAAGCTGGTATGATGCCTCAGATAGTAGGACAACAAACAAGCACCTTATAGCTGAGTTTTGTCCACACAACTAGTGCTCAGCAGCATGGGGATGTCTAACCCCCTCCTCCCCAACCCACATAACTTTGGCCCAGCTATGTTGGTTTTGATAGAGGAGTATAAATCAGTTCCCCGTGGATGGACCAGAATTTGCAGCTGAATCCTTAGGCTGGTATAAGCCAGTCACGCTGTGTGTGTGAAGCAACCCTCAGACCCAAGCAACACAGCTTACTGCAAGGGAAAAAAAGTGAGTAGTTGTTCAATTCCTTTGAGTGAAATCAGCTGCCTTGGTGTAAGCATATACAGCAGTGAGAGCAGGGCAGTGTGGATGCAAACAGGCTCCCAGACAGACACTGAGCTTCCTTGGCTAAAATTCCCTGCATAAGATCACAGGACAGAGATGCATTTCTTAAGGAGGAAGAGATGCAGGTTCTGTGGCTTAAGAGAGATACACAGCTGAGTGGCAGAGGCAGGGACTAAGGAGCTGCTTGCAAAACTCACCATCAGCTTCTTCTTTTTGTTGTAATGGAGCTTGGCTTTCTCCTTGCGTTTCTCCTCCAGTGTGGCAGTGATGGCTTGGTATTTCCAACCAACCTCATGGGCCAGGCGTCCCAGGTAGGCAAACTGGAAATGGAAAGAGACCAGGATAGAACCCAAGCATCCTAGCTCTCCGCCCCCCAACCACTAGCCCCCACTTCCTTCCCAGAGCAGAATCTGTCTCCCCCCACCCATTCTAATAGCATCCAGAGCCTGTAGCACACCTCAGGGTGGTCTCAGATGGTAGTGCATGTAATAAGGTTGTCTCATAGTCGTGAAACTCAAAAAGAAGTGTTAGCATCATCACAGACCTCAGGGGCCAGCTCCTGGCATGATGCCTGGACATCAACTCCCCTCTGCCCCAGCTACCCAGTCTAACCATTATAGGCCACCAGAGAAGCCAGACAAAACCACTGCACAGCTAGCAGCTCCCTAGGCCAGTCACGCAACTTTGATAGCCTCTCACCCAACCCTCCCACCACAGTCCCCTGCTCTCAGAGGTCTGTGGAATTTTTCTCCCAGACACCTGCAGGACTAAGAGCAGGGAAACTCCCTGCTTCATGACAACACCCTAGCACAATGTCCCAGCCAAAGAAAGGAAGAGCTTTGGGGGTGGCAGTGGGACATACATACCTTGCGGGTTGGTTTGAGGCGAACAATCTTCAGAGCTGCAGGCACCACCATGCGCTTCCTCTGCGTGGGGTGGGGGGAGAAGAGGAAGGAGAGCATCACATCAAGGAAGGGGAAGCAGGGATGGGAAGCAGGAGGTATAGGAGGCGGCGTCTCAGTGTTTGAAGGATTTTCTTCTCACGAGCCATCAAACAATGTAGGTAAATTAGAGCATCACAGACGCGGGGTGGGAATGATTCTGTCCCTCCCACCCACCCACCCGGGGGCACCATGCCTCACCTTGTCATAAGGGGGCGGGATGCCATCAAACACCTTCAGCCTCTCCAGTGCGGCCTGCCCTCGCTTGGTTTTGTGGGGCAGCATCCCTGCATGGAGAGGAGGCCTGGTGAGCAGAAGGGCAGGATGGGGCACAGAGGTCCTGTGCTGGGGCTGTCCTCTGCTCCATTCTTTCCACCAGGGGCCAGTAAGGGGCATGGCTGGGGTAGTTCTCACCCTCTTCTTCACTTCCCCCTCAGCAGAGGGGGGTGGGAGGGGAAGGATTCATAGGCATGCCCCTCCTTCCCAAGCCAGGAAGGGGAAGCCAGGGGGAGCACAGCCAGGGCATGTTGTACCATGGCTGTTCTCTGCCCCTCCCTGAGGGAGGCATGAGAGGGGCAGCTATGCTTCCCAGGCCACCCAGGGACCTTGCAGTGACCTCTCTAGGACTGCAGGGGTTAGAGCATTTACACTTGCTACCCCAAAGTTAGTAATCACACCCCCAGCATCTCCTCTAACCCTCCCCCCCCTCCATCTTCTGACCCACCAGACTCCACAGCCCTCAGAGCTGGAATAGAACCTAGGTCCCAGACACTGAGCTCCCAGCCCCCCTGCTCCAAATCCAGCCAAACCTACTCCTCTCCCAGAGCTGGGGAAGCTCACTGAACAAAGAACCACCCCAACTGGCCCTTTAAAGGCAGATGCATCCACCCATGGGGATGTTACCTCGGACAGTCCTCCAGAAGATGCGGCTGGGGGCACGGAAATGGTACGGCCCACGGGAAGGATTAGTGTTCATCCTCTTGCGGAGGAAGGCCAGGTACTTGACTGGAATGAAAGCAGTGCCCAGGGGAGGGGTTAAGGATTAATCTATACCTCTACAGGGAGGAAGGACACCTGGGTTCCATTCTTAGCTTTGCTACAAATCTGCAGGACACAGGCACAGCCCTGGCTCATCGTGCCTCAGTTTCCCCTTCACCACTCTAAATCTATACAGATTCAGGAGCAGTGGGCAGGCACTAGATTCCACAGACTAGAAAAAGGAAGCAGCCAGCCAAGTAGAGAACACCTAATGCTAGTTCAGGGCTATATACAGGGTCCCCGTGTCCCCCCTCATCAGGGGCCACCAGCTTCCTGCACACAGGCCTCAGTTCCAAGGAGAAGCCTCTCAGCCCAACGGCTGCAGGAGGGTAAAGAATCAGCACCATGAAATGCTGTGTCCCGGTTGTGGCAGGCGGGGAAATTCTAGGCTGAAAAAGGACCCACGAGTCCTGGCTCCAAGGTCCCCTGCTTCCCACTAGAGCCAGGTCAGAATCCAGTCATTTTAGCTCCCACCCCCACTTGCAGAGGTACTTACGTTTGTTCCGGTAAAAATTTCCAGAGATGTTGATGCCCTCACATCTCACTACCACCACCTTGCGTCCTAAGAGAAGGCAAAGGGAGATAGATGGTAACAGGGTCTCTGAGCAGGGGGGGGGGGGGGGGGGGGGGGGGGGGGTAGGTAGGTAGGTACATGTCAAGTAAAATTCCTAGCCCAATCAAACGACTACAGAAAGGCACAAGGTCCAAAACTCTGAAGGCCCAGAAGGATTGAGTCAGACCTGCCTGGTGCTCCTCCAGGGGCTAACAGTTTGGCTAGGGGTGCAATCAGTGGGCCATAACTGGGGCGGTTTGCAAAAAGCAATGGACTGGGCAGACAGCAGAGCAGGGTCCTGCCTGGTGCCCATCATCCTTACCTCAGGTCTGGGAGAAAAGAGCTCAGAGGGTAACATGAAGCCTCAAACCTCACCAACACCACAGACCTCAGCATACGACTACTCTGATGACCTAACCTACAGCAATGGAACCCAGGAGTCCTGGCCTGCAACCCCCAGCCGCTTCACAATGACCCACCAGACACCACCCAGCTAGGACAGAACCCAGGTGTCGGCTCCCAGCCCCAGCTTGTTCTAACCCATCCAACCCTGCTCCCTTCCCAGAGAGAACCCAGGTGCCTAGGCTGCCAGAAGCTGTCTCAGATGGTAGTGCATGGAAGAGGTGTTCTCATGGCCGTGAGACTCAAACACCGAGTTAGCATCATCACAGACTTCCCTGCTGGGCACAGACAGGGGCTCCCCCTGGCCCTACAAGGGGGGGAGAGTTTCTCCCCCACCCCCAAAATGAGACTTTAAAAAGTCTCTCAACTTTTCTCTGCATCTAACCTGGACAAAACAAACTATTCCAAACAAGAAATTTTACTACACCTTCAGGTCTCCTGTCAAATATGAATCTTCATTTCTACCTAGGAGAAGTTTTACAATCTCTGCCCTCTCCTATGTCCGACGAAGGGCAAGTGTGCCCAAAAGCTTGCAAATAAGTAAAGTGATTTGTTTGCAAGTCGCTGGTTGGTCTAACAAAAGACATCACACCTCTTCCATGCGTTTTGATGCCTTCTTCCTCCACCCCCAAACACTTACCCAGCAGGACCTGCTTAGCGACGATGGCTGCAAGGCGCCCCAAGAGGTGGCCACGGCCATCGATGACCAGAACCTGGGGGGGAGGGGGAAAGAGGTGGACATTATTGGGGGCTAGGGGAAGAACTTGGCAGAGAAATGGAGACCAGCAGCCCCCCATTCCCACAGCTGGAGATGGAGCCCAGCTTGGTGCAGGCCTCAGGGGGCCCCAAGCCCTGCCCCTGCAGACCCCAGGGGAGCCCCCTCCTACACAAGACCGGCCTGGGACCAGATCCCCAGGCAGTGCCCCATGCGGCAACCCCTAAGCCTCCCCCGCACGGCCCAGCCACATGGGCCCACCCAGCACCCCGCAGAGCCACACGGGACTGCCTCCCCAGGACCCGCCCCCACTGCCGGCTCCCCACGCGTGACCCCGCGGCCGGAGTGGGGGACGATCACGGTCCCGCGCGAACCTTTAGCTCCGCCATCCTCGCCGGCCGCACAGGAAAGGGACCCCGCCCGCGCCCGCTACGGGGTTTCCCCTTCCGGGCGGGGAAGTGCACAGGGGCGGAAGTGAGCTCACAGCCGGACGGAAATAGTGAGGCCTGAGGAGCCGCACTTTGTAGCCCGGAGGTTGGATGGGGCCAGGGCGGAAGTGAGTGGCGCAAAAGAAAAGAGGGGTTGGGACCGTTAGGGGTGAAGTCGGGCGGAAGTGCAGCCTTGTCGGGCGAGGGCAGCGCCGAATGTCGTCCTAAGCCCGGGCGGAAGTCGCCGCCTAGGGGGCACCATTAGAGCACGTGCCCCGAAAGTACCGGTATATAAGGCGAGATGGGGGGGTGGAAGTAAACCCACGCCCACCTCATGTTTATTCAGATATGTGAATCACGCGCCTCTACGCACAGAGACTGCAGCCAGGCTGGGGTGCGGGAGTGGGGCCCCAAAGTGACAGGGGGGCCTTCTCCATAGGGAACCCACTCCCCTCCTCCCAGCAGCAGGAGGCCTCATCACCCCTCCCCATTGCCCCCCTGACAGCACAGCCACCCCCCACAAGCCCCAAGGACCCCCATCATCATACCCTCCTCCCAAGCCCCACTGGCAGACCCCCAGCCTTCAGCCCACCCTGACATCATACCCAGAAAGCTCCCCTGTGATGTCACAGGCCCACCTTTTGCCCCAGATGTCACCACCTCCTAGCCTTCCAAACCCCAGCCCCATCTCCACTGTGATCTCATATCCAGCCCCTCTGACATCACAGTAATTTCTTCTGGGCCCAACCTCTGCCCTACCCTGACTGTCACAGCCCCACATCACAAACCCCCCAGGAACCTCCACCCCTGTGACCCAGAGGTCACAGCCAGACCAACCCCCCAAGAAACTCCCCAAGTCCCCCGTGACATCACAGCCCCACCGCCACCTTGATGCCCCAATGGGACAGAGACCCCAGCCCCACCCACACTGTGGCCCACTGCACAGGGAAGCATCACCCCAGACACCCACCCCTGCCACCTGTCATGGATACACACACAGGGGGTCTCCACACGCATCTTTATTGGGGTTCCTGGTGGGGCTGGGGGGTCAGACCCGCTCTTCAGTGTAGGTCACCCCCAGCTGCTGCCACAACTAATTCATGATGGAGGCAGCCAGCTCGCTCTCAGCCAGTGGCAGGATGGGGCTCTCCTTCAGGCCTGTCAGAGACAGTGGGATGGATGTCAGTGTGGAGGGCATCAGAGCTGTGAGCTTCCCCCCAGCAATGCCTAAACCTGGGATCTACCAGCCAGTGCTGCAAGCTTTTCCAAATAGTGCCCTGGCCCATCACCTTTCAGCAGACACTGGCATACATGCTTGGCTTCATAGTGCAGCCCTGTGCTGTTCAGGAAGTTGAGGGGGCTGAGAGCCGGGTGGCAGTGGGCACTCCTTCAGTTTCCCATTCACTGCCAGCTCCATGGGACACCACAGGTGATCCGGGACCTATTGTGGGGGAGACACAGCACCCCAGGGCTCAGCACAGGGGCACAGCTTGGGATCCAGGATGCCCAGTTTCCATCCCCATCTCTGGCAGGGGAGTGGGGCCTGCTGAGAGCCAGCATGCCTGGGTCTAGGCTGTCCCATTGACTTTCTCCTTCCCTTCTTACCTTAGTTTCCCCTCCTGGCCTGATACCTGGAGGATGCCCTTGGTGCAGCCAACCTCTGCCTGGTTAAGCAGCTTCACCACAGTGGAGCATTTGAGCACAGCCTGGCACTTCCCTGAGTAGTTCAGGATGATGGAAGTGGTTTCATCCACACCTAGAAGGGGAGGCAGCTCCGATGGGACCCTCTATCCCCCCAGCCCTGCCAGTGTCCCTTACTTCTGACCTGCAGTCCCCAGCTCATCCCAAACCCTATGGGTGCTCCTTACTCCCACCCCCACAGCCTCATTACCAGTGGGGCACAGGAAACCTGAGGCAGTGATGGACTTGGGCTTCTCCCCGCGGAAGACCATGCAGGCGAATTGGATGACATAGCAGCCAATGTCCAGCACTGTGCTGCCACCCAACTCTTTCTCCACAATGCGTGGGACCCCTGTGATGGGAGCCTCAAACTCTTCCCTTAACAGCTTCTCTTTCCTGATCCCATCCAAAGACAAGAGCGACAGGATCTGCTGGGAGGCTGGGAAGAAGCAGGTCCAGAGCACCTAGGGTGGGGGGAGGACAGGGACAGCTGAGGGGGCTGCCGTGCCATATTGCAGAGGGGGTTGGGAGGGGGAGCTGCACTGCAGGGGGTTCCTGCATGGGGTTCCATGTCTCACCTCCATAAGTAAGACCCCACTCTTCCAGGCCTCCTGGGCCAGCTCCCATACCTCAGTTGCATTCATGGCCGTAGGCTTCTCCAGCAACACAGGCTTGCCAGCCCACAGAAACAGCTGCCCCGTGGGCAGGTGGATGGGATTCACCACCCCCAGGTACACCACATCTGCAACAGTGCAGTCAGCTGGGACCCAGGTGTCCAGGCTCCACTCACCCCCAACCCCTTGCCCACAGCTGGGACAGAACCCTGAATCTCAGCCCCCCCAACCTTCCCAACCCATCAGCCCCACTTCCCTCCAGGGTTAGGAGAGAACCCAAGTGTCCTGGCTTCTACGTCCCTGCCTGTAGTGTCCCACTAGCCCCCACTTCCCTCCCAGGCTGGGAAAAAATCCAGGCATCCTAGTTCCTGCCCCTGCACCCTCAGCTGTGACCAACCAGGCCCTATTTCCCACCCAGAGCTGGGAGAGAACCTAATTTACCCTCCAAATCCCTGTGGCCTTACAAAGCCCAATCCCTACCCAGTGCCCCAACCACCCCTCTCTGCCATAGGGCCCTTGCCCCCTAGACGGGCTGGATCTGCCTTGCCCCAAAGGATCTCCCTTCTCCCCCACCATCCCAATGCTCATCCATGTCAGGGTCCTTGGCCAGCTCCTCATAGCTGCCATAGGCAGGATCCTGTTGTTCCTTGGCATATTGCTGGGCATGGCAGAGTTCACGGGAGGTGATGGCTGCTACTGGGGGGATAACATGGACCCCAGCAGAGAGAGAGAGAGAAACCCTCTGCTTTCCAGACAGAGAACCCAGGCATCCTAGCTCCCAGATCCCCAAACCCCACTCGTCTCCCAGAGCTGAGGTAGAACCCAAGCATCTGGGCTTGCAGCTTCCCCCCACCTCAACCTACCAGACCCCGCTCCCTTCCCCGAGTGGGGATAGAACCCAGGTGTCCTGGGCTCCCAGCCCCCTGCTCTACCCTGCCAGAATCCCACTCCCCTGCTAGAGCGAGGAGAGAACCCAGGCACCCTTGGGCCCCAAGCCTGATCTTCTGTCCCCTGTGAGTCCCCCCTATGGCCCCCTGGGACTGATCTCCCCACAGGAGCCTTGAAAACTGCCCTGCAGCCACCTCCCCGCATTTCTTCTCTGCTCCCCAAATGCCTCCTTCACCCCCAGCCCCTCCTGCCCCCTCCAGATACCTCCTGCCCCCAAACTGTTCCTGCCCCTACAAGGTCCCCTCTGTCCTTAGCATCATCCCCCCTGAACCTCCATTCTTACTGCTAGGTCCCCAAACCCACTGCACCCCAGACTTCTTCCTGCACTCACCCAAAACCCCTGACCCCCCCCAGACCCTGGCACCCCAAGTCTGTGTCAGTGCAGAAGGGAATCTGGGGTGCATCAGGGGTAAATTCTGGGGAGGCAGCAGGATGTGGGGGCAGGGGGTACTTCTTGGCCTGGGGTACAGCTGATACTGGGACCCACAGGGAAGTGGTAGACAGGCGGGGGGACCCAGCAGTATTTCTGGAGTGCAGATTTGGGTACCAGAGGGGTCCCTGGGCATCCTGACATGTTTGGGGTTAATTCAGGGGCGCTTAGGGGGTGTAAGCAAACATGCCAAACATGCCAGCAGCCCCCCAATACCCCAAATCTTCTGGGTGCCTCAGCCTGTCCAGAACCCAGAGACTGCCCTGTGGACCCCCTGATCAGCTGTACCCCAGCCCCAAAAGTACCCCCTGCCCGCCACATCCTGCTGTCCCCCCAGAAATTACCTCTGGCTCCCTTATTACTGCTTCATGCCAGAATCCCACCACCACACAGACCATTGTACTAGACTTGTACCTGCTCCTCCAAATCTCCCTGTGCCCCCATAATCCCCCATCCCCAAATTCTCTGGCCTTGTACCCCAATATGGCCTGCCCCCAGAGGATCCCTCAAAGAGACCCCCACACTCTATCCCCACCCATCACCCCCCAAACTAACCCAAATCAACCTAAATCTGCCCCAGATGACTATCGCCTCCCACCCCCTACCAACTCCTATCTCCTTAGAGCCCTGTGCTTCCTCAAACCTTGGGCACTCCAAGTGACAGCTGCCCTCTAAGACCTCACCACCAGCCTGCCCCCACCCATTGTGCCAATCCCAGCACCCCTAGAAATGCCCTGATCACCCCACCCCTGGGCCCCATTATCACCTCTAATCACCCCCTCGATGCCACCCCGCTATCAGCCCTGATCACCCCGCCCCACAGCATCCATGATCACCCCCATAACACCTTGCTATCATCCCAATCAATGCCCCCACCCCCCCGTAGCACCCTGCTATCACCCCTGGTCACCCCCCCAGAGGGCACCCTCTGTCACCCTGAACACCCCCCTGAAAGCACCCCAGTCAAGTCTGATCACCTCACTCCCAAGACGTCTGGTCTCACACCCCTAAACCCCAGTCTTGCCCCTGATCACCCCAACCCTGGCACCCTGCTCTCACCCCGATCACCTCCAGGACTCCCCTTGCCTTCTGCCCCCCAAATTTTCTACAACTCTCCTGTTCCCCTGCACACACAGATCCCTGTTCCCTCTAAATCTCCTGGCACCTGGAATCCCTCAGCCCCCCCACCCCCAAACTCCCAGAGCCTCTGGGCCCCCCAAAATCCACTGCTTCCCAGATGTATTCCTCCATGCCCCTAGATCCCCCATGCCCCTTACCCCTCACCCCTCACAGCCTCCCCTGCCCCTCTGTCCTCCCCAATTCCTTCTCCCAGCCCCCAGGGACCCCCAAAATGCCCCCAACCCCCAGGGACCCCCAAAATCATGCCCCCCAATCACACTGTGTGCTCCTGGGCCAGGAGGCTCTTCAGAGCAACGAGGAAGTCATGGCTGATTCTGCCCACAGAGCAGATGCACCAGTGTGTGGCCATGGCTGGGAGTGGGGCTGGGAGCGGAGGGCAGAAACCTGCAGGGGTCCCAGATGGGCGGTGAAAGCTCAGCCCCCTGCCCCAGCTTCCCCCACACCAGCCACCAGGGGGCAGGCACTACCAGAGGTGGCCTGTGGCCTTCCTGGCAGCGCCCAGGACACCTGGGTTCTCTCCCAGCTCTGGGATGGGAGGCTGGTGGTTTAGAGCATGGGGGGATGGAGTCAGGACTCTTGGTTTCTTCTATCTGGAGGCGGGGGGGTGGCGGCAAGGGGCATGGGGTGTGACTGGGTAGAACAGGGGGAGCCAGGAGCAGAATACCTGAGTTTTGTCCCAGCTCTGTGGGGAGAGGGGGCAGGGAGCCCAGACGCCTGGGTTCTCTCCCAGCTATGGCACAGGACAGGGGTTGGGTCCCCACCCCCACACACTTCTGCTTCCTGACAGGGCTGGAGGCTATTTATCCCCAACCCTGGTGCTTGGGGGCTGGCTGGGGCAGGGAGTGCTGTCAATAGGAACAGCCTGTCCCCTTCCAGGCAGGGAGAGGAGCTCATGTTGCCCTGACTCAGCTCTCAGAAGCAGGGGGATCGATGGGAGCAGGAGGGGAGGCCAGCCCTACTGGGACTCAGGTTTCTTAATCCTCAGGGTTATAGCCACGTTCCAGGAACAGAGCGCTAAACACAGAACCCAGGTGTCCTGGCTCCTAGCCTCCTGCTGTAACCCACCAGACTTGCCCCCCGACCCCCGGAGCTGGGATAGACCCCAGGCATCCTGGCTCCAAGTTTCCCTGCTCTAACCCATCACACTCTGTGTCCCTCCCCAGCCCCTCTTTCCTTCCAGAGCTGGAAGAGGATCCAGGAGTCCTATTCCCAGCCCCCCTGCTCTAACCCCGGGGGGGTGATGCTGCCAGGTGCATTACCCACTAAAGCTTGTGATGGGGAGGGGACAGATGAGGTGTGGGGCCCAGCCCCCACCCCCAGGCTGCCTCCCTCCCTCCCGCCCCCCT